TAAATACAGGGAAATTAATAGTTTTAACTTTATTATGATATTGTAGTTTAACTACTGAAGTTTACGTATAAATATTTTTATTTACGCTTAAAATGTATTTTGTGATATTGTATTTATACTGTAATAATGACTATAATATTTCTCTTGCTATTTTAAAATTATGAATTAATATTATAAACTTCTGTACATTTGTCGCGATTATGTATTTAAATTATTAATATTCATTAGGTGCAAGCTATAAGCCATATATCACATAATATATTATTTAAAAATGGTGTTAAATGATCAATTTTAATTTTGAACATTATGAAATCTATATGGAAGTTTAGCATTGCGTTGAAAATACACTAAAACAAGTCTAGATTATTTGCCAGAATTAAATATCGACAAATAGTTAGAAAATTATTTAAATATAATTTTAATATATATTATCATTAGAGCTACTGTTTAAAAATTTAAGTATAATTTTTGAAGCATTTAATATAATTAAGAATATTGAGTGACCCTTTATTTATTTTATGATACAGTTATTTTATATCGTATTTTGTCAATTAATTGTTGAAAATCTTTCTAAACACTTAATTTCATTGAATAAAATGATTAAAATATTATAATTTATACGAATAAGATTTTTCGATTGATTTTTTCCAATGTACAGAAATTATTAACTTTACTAGCATTTAAAACAAATCTATTATGCATATTTACTGTTCGGTATATTTATTACAAATACTCAAAATTATTTATTTATAAATATCAAATATTAAATTATTGTCTTAATTTTATTATATATTGATATTATAATATAAGGGCACATATTATTAAATTATTTTACAAAATTTAATAATCAAATATATGATTACACCTTGTTGACTATTTTTAGAGACCTGTGGCCTCCGTGCAAGAAAAGTTGTTCCGTATGTTTGGTGTAAAAACAGGTGCCGTTCGACTGTCTGTACATCTCGATAAAAATATCTATTGTTGCGGTCAGTTTCACTAATAATGATTATGGTAAACATTTAATTTATATGCATGTAACTATGGTTAAACTACAAGCGAAGTAATTTCCATACACTATCACTTGGATAACCGGTCGTCAAATACCATATGCTTTTTGCCACAACTGGTCCGACGGACGGCCTTCAAGACGGAGGACATGTTTCGCGATATTAATGAACTCATTGTCACAAATGATGCCCAAAAGTGTCTCCCAAATGGTTCCCAGTCTGACATAGTGTGCATATCAGTGCCCGCGGACTCTCTGCCCACAATAGACAGTCCATTCATCAAAATCACATACACTATCCGATTGCTTGTCCTCATCTCGGGATCGGACGAATATTTTGATGAATTAATTATATTTATTAAGTAATTTTATTTTGTGTCAAAATATGGTTATAGATACTACAATTTACATTTTGCCATAATTTATTTTTGTTAATAATTTAGCTTGAATGATTGGTTTAATACATAATTAATACAATATGATTAAATAATCTAAACCGTGTTGTATGATATATTTTGCATTAAGAGAAATATGCACAATTTTTGAATGTATTTCGAGATTATTAATTTTTTTAAAAAATAGTTTGACAAATAAAATACATTTGTTATAAGTTATATTTGTAATATATTATCTCAAATAATATAATAATATTTTGAATTATCTAAATAAAATGTTTTTAAACTTAATTGATTAAATATTTATTCTTAAATAATAAAAGTCCATTTATTAACAAATTACAGTATAATAAAAATATTTTAAAAATAAAATTTATGCTTAATATTAATTATATTAGTTTTTGTAATTATAAGACCATCAGCAAAATAATCAATATTAAATTGCAATTATATTCTAATTAAAATCACTCACTTGATGTCAATTCTGGTTAATTTAAGAAATTTAAGTTTGATTCTGTTATAATCAAGGTAAAATCGTATAACAGAATATTCTTATATTGATTATTTGGGTGTATAGTAACAGACATGCGTTGATTGGTAAACATTTTGTGCAATACAAGCACTACACATATAATAAGTAAGTTTAATTTAAAATTAAATAAATTATCATGCTTATCATTTTGAAAACAAATCATATTAATATTTCACAGTACAAAATTATTGAAACGTCTATAACTTGGTGAAGTAATTAATAAGTGATTTAATAATTTTCTGTTTAAAAGTAACCGAAACTCTATTTCAATGTCACTTGAAATACAGAATGTCTCATAAAAATCAATAATAAAAAAATGTCTGAATTTTCATCATATGTTTTGATACCAAAATTAATGCAAGAATATTTAATTATAGTACTTCTGAGACAATCAATGCAATATAATTAATACTTAAATACAATTATAATCCAATGGGCTTTGAATTACGTCGTTTCGAGATATTGGTTGAGCCAAAAAATTACTATCGAAATGGCGATAGAGTTAACTCGATGTTAATCATTGAATTAGTGGGACATTTGAAATGCAAACACATTTTAATGACAGCAATCGGCGAAATGTAAGTACAGTTTATCTTAAAATAATTAAAATTAAATACTATTTAAGATTAAATAATTTAATTATATGTTTTAAAAACTGTTATTTTTGAATTTATATTAGATTTATAAGGGATTTGAGGACTCAGGCGCCGAGAATCACTCACTTCATGTCAATTCCGGCTAATTTAGGAAATTTAGGTTTGAATTACTATTTAATTAATAAAATTTTGATTAATTATAAGTTGCTTATAGTTAGAAGTGATGTGTTAGAGACCGGACTATACAGGATTCCCTTTAATTTTATTCTACAAAAGTATGTAATAATTTATTACTAATAAATTTCACATTTTAAATGTAATTCATAATTTAATTTATAATTTTACAATTAATTTATAAGTGTTAAAAATTAATTTATTAATTGTTATAACAATCAGCGCGTGTTTGCCGTCATTTAATGTGAAATACAGTGGCGTTTGCTATTATGTTGAGGCGATTATCGATAGCCAACTGTTTTATGACACGAATTCAATTGCGAAACAGGAATTCAATGTTAAAACCCATTCAAACGTGTGTCCGTCTCGTATCGATTGCGTGAGTTCTGTGTCTATAATATTGTTTGCAAATTATTTTTGTAAATACATAAAAATAAATAGTTTTAAACGTTATTATCTTTACAAATCGCAAATTTAATTTAATAATTTTAAATGTTATAAATATAACTTAATTAAATTTACCATATTTTTCTAACTATTCTAAAATTGTGAATTAAAATTTTGTAGAGTACTGTAAATTTGCTTGCATATAAAGTCCAATTATACACTAGGTAAATACATTGTATATAAATTTGGACTATCCTTGATTACGCAGAAAATGACTCTGTAGTAATTTTATATCATATTTTGTCAATCAATGTTATGTTACAAAGTTATCCAAAAACTCAAAATTTATCGAATAAAATGAGTAAAATATTGTATACGACTAAAAATAAAAATTTCTAATCGATGTACAAGCAATCCAATGTACAAACAATTTTAACTTTATTAACATTTAAAATAATTTGATTAAGCATATTTACAGCTTGTTAGTATATTTATTACAAATACTTAAAATTAATCATTTATAAATATCAATGCTAATAATTTTTTAAATATCATAAATCAAATTGTCTTAATTTTACTATGTATTATTAAATTATATTAAAAATTATTAATACAAATATAGTTATTACATTTATATTATACTCTTAGCGTAACTAAATTATATACCAGAAAGTCACATTTCATTTAATTATTTTAAATGTTACTAATCAAAATATACGATTACACCTTGTTAACTATTTTTAGAGACCTGTGGCCTCCGTGCAAGAAAAGTTGTTCCGTATGCTTGGTGTAAAAACAGGTGCCGTTCGACTGTCTGCCCACCTTGATAGAAATGTCTATTGTTGCGGTTAGTTTCAATGACCATGTTCAACATCAAATTAATTTATACCCTTTTAACTCCGATTTAAATCACAGGCGAAGTAATTTCAATACACTATCACTTGGATAACCGGTCGTTGAATACCATATGCTTTTTGCCACAACTGGTCCGCAGAACTGTCTTCAAGATGGAGGACATGTTTCGCGATTTCAATGAACTCATTGACGCGAATGACGGCGAGAAATGCGCTTCAAATGACTCCCAATCAGACGTCGTGTGTATATCTATACCCGCGGACTCTCTGCCCACTCTCGACAACCCAATCATCAAAATCACATACACTATACGATTGCTTGTTCTCATCTCCGAGTCGGACGAATATTTCGATGAATTAATTGTATTTATTAAGTAATTTTATTTTGTGCCAGAATATGGTTAAATACTAGAAAATGTTTATATAGAAATGCAGTTAATTTATTTTGATTAATAATTTAGCTTGAAAAATTATCTTAAAACATAATTAATAGATTACTACAATATTATTAGATAATATAAACTGTTTTTAGGATATATTTTGCATTAAAACAAATATGCACAATTTAAAATGCAAAATTTATTTATTTAAAAAAATAGTTTGATAATATATATTTTATCTCAAATGAATGAATAATATGAATGATCTAAAATATATTATCTATTAAATATATTTTGTTAAATATTTATTTTTAAATTGTAAAAGACAATTTAATAAAAAATTACAATTAAATTATTAAAGAATAAAAAAGATGATTAATATTTATTGCATTAAATTTAACAACATTATTTAATGATCAAAGTAAAAGCATACAGAATATTCTTACATTGATTCAACGTTTGTAGTGATAGTAACAGACATGCGCTAATCGATAAGCATTTCACGCAATACAAGCACAGTATACATAATAAATAAGTTACTTTTAAAGGTAAATATATTATTACGTTTAACATGTAGCTAAAATTCGCATACTATGACACAATACATGTTGTTGTAATGTTTAAAAAGTTAAGTAAGAAATTAGAATTTGACATAATCTATGTAAAAGTATTTTTATAATTATCTAAATAATAGTAACCGAATGTTAACTGTATTTCAATGTCATGTGAAGTACAGAATATCGCATAAAAATCAATAAATAAAAAAACAAAAATTGTTTTGATTCTCATATTATATTACGCGACAACAAAAATGTCATCACAATATGCTTTAATATCAGAACTAAACTAGATAAATATTTAATTAAATTATTTTCAAGATAATCAGCGAATGACATAATATTTAAATGCAATTGTAATCCAATGGGCTTTGAATTACTCCGTTTCGAGATATTGGTTGAACCGAAACAGTATTTTCGAAATGGCGATAGAGTTAACTCGATGTTAATCATTGAATTAGTGGGACATTTGAAATGCAGACACATTTTAATGACGGCCATTGGCGAAATACGCGCAAGGTGAGCATTTAATTACTTTACAATTTAATTTAATAAACAAATTTACAACTTTTATTTGCTATTTGTTAGATTTTACAGACAGGACCAGTCAATGGAAATCAGTCACTTCATGTCTATACCCATTAATTTACGGGATTTAGGTTTGCATTTGTAATAAATTAATTTTGTTAATGTTTAAATAATTTTATTTCATATATTTAATTAAATAGTTAGAAATGATATTTTGGAAACCGGCCTTTATCGAATTCCTTTTAATTTCTATCTACAAAAGTATGTCATAAATTATCATTTTTATATAAGTTTTAAAAATTATTATTTTTTCAATCAGCGCGTATTTACCATCATTTAAAGTAAAAAATGGTCGCATTTGCTATTATGTTGAGGCAATTATTGATGACCAACTGTTTTACGACACGAATTCAGTTGCGAAACAGGAATTCAATGTTAAAACCCATTCAAACGTCTGTCCGTCTCGTATCGATTCCGTGAGTTCTTTGTCTCTAATTATGTCACAATTTATTTTACTATAAATAAATATAAATAATTTTTATAATAAAATTTTTATATTTTATTTTCGAATTTTAATTATGATATTTTATTTATGTTAGATTTACATTGTCTGTTTTTATTTATTGTAGTTTACATTAAGTTTGAATTTTTTTATTGTAATGTGCAATTTGTGTTTAAAATTATCTAAATTGCATTATTTTTATATTTAAAATAGACATAATTGTATAAATTATTTATAATTACTAATAACTCAAGCTAAATTGCATTTTCATTTTATCGAGTTTTAATACAATTTGATAATTAAACTTTATAGAATAAACACTTTCTAATATTATATGTAATTTAAACAATTTTTTGTAAAGTGTTTATAGAAAGTGTATAATGAAAACATTTATTATATAAAATTCAATATGACATGAAAACTGTTATTTTATTTTAAAAATACTTTTAAGCAATAACTTATGCTAGTTTATATTAACCTATGGTGTTCAATGAATTGAAAACATACTTTTATAAATTATATTTTAAAAACCAATTCAGAGACCTGTGGCCGCCGTACGGGAAAAGTTGGTCCGTCTGTTTGGCATCAAAATAGGTGCCGTCAGACTGTCAGCACATCTCGATAGAAATGCATATTTTTGCGGTCAGTTTCACTAATTATGGCCAAAATAAAACATTAAATTTACCATATGGTTATCAAACCTTGTTTAAACTACAGGTGAAGTGATCTCCATATACTTTCATATGGATAACCGGTCGTCAAAATCCATACGCTTTTTGCCACAACTGGTCCGACGGACGGCCTTCAAGAAGGAGTACATATTCCTCGAGAGTGAAGAACTCGTCGCCACTAATGATACCGAAAAGTGTGCGCCCAATGGTTCCCAGTCTGACATCGTGTGCATACCTGTGCCCGCGGACTCTCTGCCCACAATCGACAGTCCATTCATTGACATCACATATACTATCAGTTTATTTGTGTTGATCTCAGACTCGAGCGAACATTTCGACGAAATACTAGTCTTTATTAAATGATAATTTCATTTGTCATTAATTGTCGTATTCTTCGGAAACTAATGTCCTATTATTTTGTGCCAAAATATGGTATAAATACTAAAATAACGTTATATTAAACGTAACTTATTTTTAGACATAATTTAGCTTGTAACATTAGCTAAATACAGTCCAAGTATTTAATATACAGTATATTTTTAACTAGATAAAATTTACAATTTCTCTCTCTCTCTCTCTCTCTCTCTCTCTCTCATAAATTATATAACGTATATATTTTTAATTGATTTTAAATATTTAAAAAGTATTTTTCCGAAACATAAGTTCTCTAAAAAAATTGTATTAATTAGTAATTATTTAATAAATACTTATTTATTCATATATAAAAAACATAATACATTTCGATATCAAATAACCTAAAAAACAAAATATTTTGATTTTACACTAGATTAATTTATAATTAATTATCTACACTAAATAATCAGCTAATTATAAACAAATAGGAAACAAACCAAAAACACAAAACAAGTGATCAAACAGTGGTATTGAGCGCAGACATGGAGGACGAGAACCGTTGCTTCAGCTCCAGAACCACATCACTATAACTGGCCATCTGTTTGCCATCAGCCGCGACCGATACCACGGATCTGCTATCGGGTGATCTCTTCGAGGAAACAATTATCCTCTCCGTCTGTGTCCTGGAGATCATGGGAACCGTCGTTGTCTTCAGTTGTGACATATTCTTTGCCAAACTCTTGTCCAGAGCTTTCATTAGATCCATTTGAATGGCTGTCCTCTTCCTGTCCATCGATGAAGTTGTCCGCAGTTTTTGCATAGATTTGGATAAAAGTGAGCCGCGTTTGGCCGGTATAGGCGTTCGCAGCACTGATACCAGCGATAGGTCGCCTCCGTTCCCATCCCTGTCCAGCGTTGCCATCGGTTCCCGGATGTGATCGTTGGCACAAATGGGACAAATGCACTGTTGTTTGGCCCCACGTAACCCTATTTGTGTCTCCGATAGCTTTGTGTGGTTTTGGTGTTATTTATTATTAAGGAAAAATTATTATGATTAAAATAAACTATCATAATAATTACAGTTAATATAGTAATTTAACACATAATAAATTATTAATTATTAAATATATAAAAATGTTTATTGTTATATAAGCAAATATCCATTTATTAATAAAAACTGTAATTATATTAAATGGCGATTTTATATACTATTTAAAATTTTAATAATATAAAATATTGGTAATTATCACTTTCACAAAATCTTAAAAATTTTACTAAATTATGTGTCAATTTTTAAATATTCTTTTAGGTGTTAATAAAATATAATATTTAATAAGAAAGTTTAATTTAGTTATTTTTTACCAACATAATAGGAAAAATTAACACATCATTGTTTTCATTAAAACATTTTCTAAATGAAAGGCTAATTGTAACTTTGATTTGTTGATCAATGACTAAATATGGTCAAAACAAAATTGTTCCACATAATAATTATTGTGAATAAAGTTATTTAATTCATAATAACGTTATATAATAACTATTTATTTTATCAAAATATTGTAAAGTTATATTGTAATGCAGCAAGTTTCTTGCAAAAATGTTGTTAAAAACTGTATCTATGTTAATAATTAATTTATATGCTAGTTATAATTTTATAAATCTAAAATCTTTGGTTTCGCTTTACTTCGTCTAAATATTAATATATTTATTTTAAAATATTACAATCAAAATTAAACATTGTTGAGATATTAATAAAGAGATATTATTAAATGTTTACTAAAAGTTACATTTTGTTTTGTAAAAAACATTACTAAACAAACTTACTTTAATTAAAATACTGCCCAAATGAGAGACAGTTTGTTGGTTTAGGGCATCGGCGGACAAATGGGTGCCATCCCTACCCTCCGGCCCAATACTATTGCATTCATCGCCGGCTTTAACAACACTTTCACCACTTGTTATGCAAAATAATAATTTAAACTTATCGGTGAAAAAACACGATATAAACAGTTTTAATATAATTATGGCAATTAATAGGCAGCCAAACAGCGATAGTATGTACAAAATGATCATCACTAGTGAGCCATTGGGGGTCTGGTGTCCGACAATACCTTTGAAACTGATCTCATTTTTGATTAACATTTGAGTGAAAATCAATCAATAATTTTGATTTTTTGCGATCAATAGATACCACGTTGTAATCAAAAATAGTATATATTTGTTGTGTGAAACACATTAATAAGATTGTGGAAAGTGAATTGTGAATTTTTGTTGGTGTATTTTTTACTATGTAATTATTTTTAGCCAAATAAATATATATAAATATAATTTAATTGATATATTTTTTCAATGCACATAAGTAAAGTTAGATAACTTTAAAACACATAATTTTTAAAATGTAAGTTTTTACGACTAAAATAAACGTGATTAGTTATTAAAATTAAAAATCAATAAAAATTATTGCGAAAAAATCATTAAAACACTGTTTAAAAAAGCAACAAAAAAATATTATCTTAAAATAATAGTCAAATCAATATTTGCTTTAAATAACAATTCATTCACTTTTAAAAACATAATTTTGTTTTGAAATAAATTTTCAAATTGTTATTTTCGGGAGTATTTTCACCACTCGTTTTTAACTCAACGCTATCGGCGTTTGCAAAATACAAATGTATTTTTTAAACACATTTTACTGAGAGTTAAGATATGCAGAGAAAGAAAGAAAGAAAGAAA